GTAAACGTTAACAGAAAATTTTGAAAAAGCCGATAACGAATAAGAAAAGTAACGATTACTCTATATCTTTTGTTTGTGCTTAATCCTCTGAGACAAATATTCATTTCAATCAAGTTTCACTGGTATAATTAATACGAAGGAGCTAAAACTAACCGATCCCCTAAATGTTTCATCCTTTTACATCAATTAATTTCTAACTTGTTACTCTTCGTCCTGCATTCTGTCTTCTCGAAACGAAATATTATCCTTTCACGAAATGTATCGAATGTAAGAAAGAAAAGAACGGTTTCATTTTATACACTTTGAAAATTACATTCATTACTCTCTTCCTTGTCGAAAAATATACACGAAACGAGATAATGCTAATTTTCCAAAAACGGATATCCCTTCATCCAACACCCCCATCGATGCCCCTAATCCGAGACAATTTGCGATTCAAATTTCGCGATACGATATAAATTATCGAGCTTCCTTCTTCCTTCCAACCCCATAAACACTCATCCAACCCCTCGTCGTCGCAATCATCCCCTCGAGTTAATTTCTCAATTTCGTGCGCACGAAACTTTTGAAGGATCGTCACGGAACCAACTATCGATTGCCCCTCGATACTCTCGGGTTCCGCAAGGGATGATTAACGAATCTATCCCTCTCGTCGAGGGGAAAAGCGTCTTCCTCCCCGAGGGGAAGATAGTTTGGATAGATCGCGAGTTTATGACTGGTAATACGCGGCTCACGTCGGGGGGAATTAATTAAAATCGGGTAAATAAGACGACGATGTTTAAATTGGGATGAGGGATTGCGAGAGTTTTTCCTTGGATCGTTGGAGGAAGGGATCGAGTAGAGTAGTAAAACTGGAGTAGTAAAATTGATATTTGAGAACATATTGAGTTGATCTTTGGTTTAGCGGGGGTGGTGGTGAATTTCGTGCAAGGGAAATTGATTATTTTAAAACGGTGTTGGGTAATTTGGGTTATATTTAAAATATACGTTTGATCTATTGGAAACTTGCAATATTTAAATTACTTTTTGCTTTTAATTTGATCGATCGAAAGATTCTTCATGAATATGGTTTCAGAAAATATTTTAATTTCTTTGGATAATTTTTTATCACGATTCACTAATTGCTTCACTAATTCAGATTACTGTACAACTTTCCCTTCTAATCCCTTAGAGTTAAATTTCCGCGAATATTTCAGAATTATTTCCCCCGTTTCGACGAAACGAACGATCGACGCGAAAGACTAAAAGGAGGAGGGGGGGGAGGGGGAAAGAAACAGAAAAGATAAAGTAAACGAGAGGAAAGAATAGAAAAAATTACAAAGGATCAGTGACCTGAATGATATCGACGTAATGGAACAACAATGAGACAAGAGGAGGAATTAAATATCCCGGGGGTAATGCAGTTTCTGTGTCAATTATATCTCCGTGGAACAATACCCGTGCAACTTTTCTACGCCCGCGATCCAGCTAACGATATTACTTAACGACTAATAACTCATAATTAGTTATCGCGGTCGTATCGCGTATTTTCCGCATCGAGATGAATTATCGCTCGTCCATTAAAAGTTTCTCCGCGATAAATGAAAAAAAAAAAAAAAGAATGAAGAAAGAAAGAGAGAAACGATGAGATACGCTTTCTTCAATCTTACGACCCGTGAACGAATCAATGACGATCACAGAGGGAAGGATATTTATTTTCTTATTGCACGTGCAGATTCGAATCGAATTAGATCTTATTATGCTCGACCGATGATAATTTTATTCGAATTTTTCTTTATCGCTTTGAAAAGATGAAACCAATCCTTAAATTACATCTGTATTATTTTCATTTTATTTTTTCCAAGCGAAAATGTGTACAAGAAATGATTCGAGGTTTGATCTCACGTTTTATAAATTGCTCCGTGTACAATCCATTCGTTACACACGAATCTTCGTTTAAATCGGATCTTTTACAATATTCATTGTACAATATATCATTTCTTTTCTGACTGACTGTAGTTTGTCAAGCGGTTAAGAACTGATAATTCTTAGCAATTATCTTCAACTTCATTTCTTGTAACCCGCTATCACGAATTTATTTAGAAAAAAAAAAAAAAAAAGGAAGAAAGAAACGTTCACAAAAAGACGAGCCCGACTTCTCTCTTCTTCCCTGATCCCAAAATTTGACTCGTTATTTCGCGAATTTCCAGTTGTATCTCGATTAGATCTACACCAGATCTCTGGAATCTTGTAATGACTCCCTGTTATCGTTCAATTAGCCGTTACAAACGCGTTATCATCTCGCTCGTTCTATCGTCGAACCGGCTTGTTAGCGCGCTGAAAATACCGGCCGATAACGTGTTCATTTGCATTTCGTTGCACGCGACCACCCAACGTTACACCCCTGACGAACAAGTGGGCTTGCTGGTTCAGGACACGCTTGCCAAAGGAAGCCTTTCTTTTTTCTTTTTTTTTTAAGTAAAAGGAAAAAATTGCTCGAAGAATAACGGTTATCAAGACGATGATATCGTTGGAAAAGGGGATGAAGATATCCAGGAGGCATTTATGCAATGGGGTTGGAATGTTGCGGAGGATGGATCGCGATAAATTAATCGTGGACGAAGGTGTTTGGGGTATTTCGGTATTTTGAGAAAGATGGAATTTTGGAATTGGAACTCGAGAGAAATTTGTTCCTTGATTAATTTTCTTTTTTTCTTGTAATTCGAAAATGTGTGCACGAATTTTCTAGATTTTTTTATTATGAATATTGTCGGTCGAAGATAAAAATTCGGCGAGGAAAAATTATCTTTGCGCGAAGAATTCGAAAATGATCATGTATCATGACAATTTACGTACGATTCGATTTCCAATCCCTTTAATCTTCTCCAAGATCAAATTGCTAAAGTTAAAAAGCTCATAAGGCGGTGTGGTTAAACCGAGTCTTGTTAAGATTACGGGACGAACGTCGACCGAGTGGCGTAACAGTAAGCGATAAGCAGTAAATCGAGCCGGTTAATGTAGCAATGTATTTTAAGAAAAATACTAGCTTTTCCACGAGATTTCTTCGTTCAACCGGCCATTAAAGGGGTAACAGAGAGGCGCTTTGAACGCGTGAAACTTTTCACGAGACATTTGTCGGGGGGGGGGGAAAGGGATGCAGAGTGTTTTCGATCGAGTATCTTGGTGTTTCTCTTTGATCCTAATGAACAATTTCCACGCTACGTTTAATATTCTTTCGCATTAATCACTGGCTTACACGTGGAAACACGGAAACAACGAACAAGAGGAATCTTGGCGCGAATATTGCGTGTTCGCGTGAGCCTTCCGTGTATTGATTCGAACGAGATAAAAATAGCGAGAGGGAAAAATTATGGAACGATTTTTAAAATTTTCTTCGTTATTTGCTCTAATTGGAAAAAAAAAAAAAAATATCGATTCTTCTCGAATCGAGGAAACTGTTTCGCAATTCCACTCGACTTTGCAAAAATTTCGTAAATCTTTTCGCGTCACGATTTTCGCAACCCTTCCGCAAGGCCGCTAAACTTCCTTTGCAATTTAAAATTCAGACCTTTCTTCTTTTTCTTCTTCTTCTCGGGTCAAAGTTCACCCGACTCGTGCATAAAACATCCCTCCATCCGAGTCGCGTCGAATGAAACAGTGGCCGCGATATTTCAACCATCCGCTCGACCTTAAAATTTCTCGACCCGGGAATCTCGAATTACCGGCAAATCTCGCGCGAAAATAAAGGAGGGATGCGAGAGAAAAGTAGAAAAAAGTCGTTAGATGATGTATATACTCCTTTGATGTACTTTCGCGGTGGAAATAGGGTTGCTTCCACCCTCGACGCGACCACAATCGTAAATGCTTGGCTTGTGCAAGGGAGAAACGATCCTTGGACTCGTTAAATAAAATTTCATGCGAGTTTGACGAGATTAATTGACACGTGTCGTTTTGGCGTCGATCTCTTTTGGCGTCGAGTTTAGAAGAGAAGAAAAAGACAAGTGAGACGAGACAACAGCCATGACTGGGCAAAATAGAGTTAATAAAATAATGATCGGACGGAAGAAGAAGAGTATGAAACGATGCTCGAATAAAATAAAACGATCGTGGATGGACGAGTGGAATAAGATAGCGATGGACAGACAAGACAGTCAGATAAATAAAGAATGAGGAACGCCGACGTGCTCAAACGAATGGAATAAACCGTTTAGACAGATTATATATAAATAATCGTAGATGGATAAAATGTGGTAATGATAATTTTATTTTTTTATCAAATTTCTGCGCATCCAAAAGTGGAAGAAAGTTTTTTCGGACGCGTTAAAATTGCGCGTAGTTCAACGCGATTAATTAATAATCGGTCGATTTAGGACTCGATAAAGTTGATCCGCGTTTCGAACGTTTCTGTCTTTTGTCCCGGTGGAGTGTCCTTTGTACGAGAGATATCGGGTGTAAAGTAGAAAACGAGTATGAATGGTATTTTTTTTTTTTTTAATATTCGAGAATATTGGATCGCGAGAGTTTGTAACGACGTCGATTAATAGTGAATTGAATTGATCGGTGGAAGCGGTTTAATCCCGGATGGGGAACTTTGCATGTGGTCATTTTGATCATTCCTTTTTTTTTTAATTGTTGTTATTTTGACATGCTTTTTAATCGTTTTTCACGTTCAACAACGATTAATATTTTGAAATATGTTGAACTATTAGGCTGTTTTTATCGCGACAAGGATCGGATTTTCGAGTTCCACGAGTTTCAGAGTGGAAGAGAAATCGAAAATCGTTAAATTTTTGCACGGTTATCGCGAAACCTAGGATCGATTCCTGGGAATTGATGGCTCGCAGTTTGGAGTTTCTTGTTCGGCGGTGTTTAAGGCGCATAATAACGAAAAGGGGTGTTGTTTTATTATCACTCTCGCGAATTGCATTAACGATAATGCACTTTTGCGATGAGCCAGCTGCGCGATCGCAATATTAAATCTCCCCAATCTCCCCCAACGAGTTTTCGCGTAAATTTTCAAGCAAAGTAAAAGGAAAATTTCCCAGCTTCGTTGCTCTGCGAGTTGAACGAATCGAAGATATATCTTTCAAACTTGCTCTCGTATTAATTCTCGTATCGAACCACGCCTCATCGAAATTCCATTTTCATTGTTCTTCCATCATTCTTCTTCGAATCCATATTTTCTATCCTACGAAAAACATATACTTTTGAAGAAATATTGTTGACTGGTGGTGAACGATAAATAAAATACGCCGATCTAGCTGAACGAATATATTTTTAATTATCGAGGATATCAATTATGAAATAGTGGCGCTGCTAGCGACGTTCATCGATAAAATTATAAGTAAAATTTCAGTGAACTTTATATTCTACAACAAATATACATATATATGATTATAAATATTCACACTGAAAAATGGATAATTCACACGCGATAAGAACGAATTCTCCGTTTATCAGTTCCGTTGGAACGGATCGAGAAACCATCCCTCGAATATCCATCCTATTCGTTTCATAAATCCAAACTGTCGAAAGCACTAAATCTCCGAGAATCAGGAAAAAGAGACCCTTCTCGGGGCAAGAGCTTGGTGAATCTGATCCGAGAAAACTAACTCGATAAATCAAAAATCTTCTCGATCACCGTCCGAATCGATACAAAAAACTCCCCCAGAAACCGAAAAAAATTCCCTTCAATAACACACCGATCTCGCCACTCAAAGAATCTGCCACGAAGTGTAACGATCTCAAATGAAGAATGGTTTTAATCCGGTTATGTCCGTCCCTGTTCGAGGAGGAAGCGAGAAAAGCGAGAATCTCGGGGGAAAATTTCTTTCGAAACGGATCCCCCTCCTCCTCCGCGTCCTGTCCCTTGAATTTAATATCGAGACGGGGAGGATTATCGGAAAAATGCATTTACGAATTCGAGCCTCTCTCTCTCTCTCTCTCTCTCTCTCTCTCTCGTCGTCGTCGTCG